CAAAGCGAACGACGGCCTAATGCTGGATTCACCCTGCATCCGATTTGCTTCGTACAACCCTCTGCAATCAATCAGAAAACAGAATTCCGATGATACGAAGCAAAATCCATCGGAATCCTGTTTTCTGATTAGTTGCAGGGCGTCGTACGACGCAAATCGGATGCAGGGTGAATCCAGCAAATGGCTCGAATTCACTGAAAACGAAAATGACCAATGGCGTAAGCAGAACTCTCGTACAGCAGCGCGCGCTTGGAAATCCACCTGTCTATGCAGAACCGCTAGTTGATGGCGGATATCGCGCGATTCGGTTTGATCGTCTTGCGATATCTTAAAACTGTTCGTGCCTTCGTGCCCCCGTTGACGATAGTCTGTGTCTGTGTGTTGGTCTGCTTACATGTGGATACGTTCGTTTGTTCTCGCCGTTTGCTCTACTGTTATGTAGATGCCACCATGAGAACGATTCGTGTTAGCTGAAAGTAATCTCGGAGTTACAACGGTGACAAACGGTGCGAGGACGATATCGCGGGAAAATGACTTCTTTCGTGCCGTCGAGAGTCTAGGAATTCATGAAATTGAAGAAGCGAAAGAGTCTGTGCGCGCAGTGCGTGAATATGCCCGCCAAGGTCTCTAAGAAGGTCGTGGGCATGATCATACGAAGCCGAAAGTCCATTATGAAGGATGGAGTCATCACGGTACCAATGACTTTCGTTAAATCTCACTCATTGACACCACTCATCATTATCATTATCTCGCAACTCTCCCTCCCTCTCTTTCCTGTGGCGGCGCCCGCCTCGATTCTCGACTTCCGAGCCGCTGCTAAGCTACTACCTAGCTAGTAGCTGGTACCCTCTCTCACTCCGACATTCGCACCATACCTGTCTCATATGTCTGTCTGTCTGTCTGTCTGTCCGTTTGCCTACACCGCAAACGTTTTATCTCGAGTCCCATTTTATCTTCACGTAATGTCGCATGATCGGTACTAACGAGGACCTCTATTCGTGACACTACATGGAACAACTTGTATCTTGTCCCTTGTATATTTCGGAGAAACAGCCGAAAATATACCTACGATTCCATGTTACAAATAATTTCTGCAATATTTTACAAGTTGCAATAAAATAGAGGTGTTTATATTCGTGGCCTCTCAATTCTTGACGCACTTTATATTTGCATACATGTAAATTATTTCTTAAACAGACGTGACAAATGCATGTACACGTATGTGTGTATTTAGTATTTTTTAATGTGTTTGAGTATTATCAAAAATTATCATCTTTATTATTCCCATATGTTTAATTTTGCATTGTATTCTTTTCTGTCTCGTGCAAGACTAAATGTGGCATAATTATTAAAAAAATACTAATTATTGTACGCTTATTTACATAACCTATGTGACGTGTTATCAGCTGATTAGACCATTTTATTTTATAAACACATTTGCTTGCAAAGGACATCTGATGCATGAAAGAAAAAATTGAGTGGACACAGAGAAAAGATAGTCCTATTATATTTCAACAGTGATATAAAGTTTGATTTATAATTTCTAAATATATTTATCTTAATAGAAAGGGAGAAATTTTGTTTATAATTTTTGTTTTTGGGATCAATATTGTAAACTATTTACGCCACGTTTTATAGTCAACATTCAACGAATCACTTAAACCTCTACTTAATATATGTAAATTAAATTAGTTTCTTTCTTTCTCTCTCCATCGCTTAGCCCGATAGAAAAAGGCAATTGATGAATTTTTTTTCCTAGTAGTCGTTGTAACTATTGAATTGATTTTGCCGAAGGTTATTCTATATTTTGACTAACAAAAAAAAATCAGGAGGTAAAAATGGATGTTATTCCTCGACACGACGCTGTTTTTATCACATATTGTAAGCGTCACACATATGTATACACATACATATACATATATATATATGTATATATATAATTTTTTACGTGCGTATGTGCGCGTCACTACATGTACATATAGCGCATAAACAGGCAAGTGTCGCGCGCATCGATCAATTATTCGACAATGCGTTCCCATACACGCCGACAATTGACCGTAATGGACCGTAATGACGCGATGGTGATGTTGCCGCGGCGTATGCGAAATCTTTCCTTCGCGATGCCCAGCTAAAAGCAGCTAAAAGGAGCCTGGAATGAGCGAATCGCCAGCTGTCGAGACCATCGTTAGGTTAGAACTCCGAGTCCGGAGACTCCGGAGTTAGCTCGAAGAGATTATACGGTTGAATCGTCAAGCGGTGACGTTGGGGAGGGGATGAGAGACCAGTTGGAGCAGTTGCGATGCGGAGGTTTGATTCCCCGCGTGAACCGTCCCGCGCGACGTGAATGGACCGCGCGAGGGATTGACGGCGCGTCGGCTGGATCTCGGCTGGAAATATGTGATCGTCCGAGATCTCTCTCGCCGTAGCTGCCGCCGTATACGCGAACGGCCCGACGCCGACCCGTGGTTTCCAAGAATAGAGATACGAGACAGGGGGTGACAAGGAGAGGGGGTGAGAGACCGAGGGGGAAAGAGACGGGAGGAAAGAGAAGACTCCGTCCGCGGCGCAAAGCCGCTCCGGTCGCACGAGGAGACTGGAGAAGACTCCCCGGATCGGACAGGAGCGGACGTCGATCGTCGCGCGTTGCCGACCTGCAGGGAGTGGAGTGCCCAATCGCCGACCTCGCGTCCCCGCGGATCTCTCTGTGACGTCACGCGCGTCGCGACCGTGCGCGCGATCGGATCAAGGCATCAAGGCATCAAGGCCGCGCGCGCGACTCGCGAGTCGACTCCCCGGACTCGGGGACTCGGGGACTCGGGGAAGCCAGCAGCGTCCCAACGATATCGTTCACCTCGTGCTCTCCGTTTATCATGAAGGTGAATCTCTGTTACGAGCAGAGGTATGCGTGAAAAATACCACTCGACTTTTCCAAGCTTCACCAAGTCGGGGCTGTAACTCCTTTACTTTTACTCTTCGGATCTCGTATATTCTTGCCAAGAAATCTAATGACGCCACTGATTTGGCACTGTACAACTGTCTGGCGAGACAGCGTTACAGGACTAATTATGTCATATGACTCGATAATCATGGAATTATTTTTAAGAAATATATAATAAAATACGCGCATTGAGAGAGTGAATGGATTTTAAGAGGATGCTGTGGAAGATTGCGCTAACTTGAGTCTTGCACTGCCATAATAAAGTTCAAAACGTTGACAACCGATTGTCAGAAAGATTGATTATGTCACGTTCTCGTAAATATAATTGCAAACGAGGAAGCGCGGAGTGACAGCAGAGTGACTTATTGTATCTCACGATTGAATAATATTTCTTACTTAAACCTCAACAAAGCAGAGTGTACATAAGGAGCCTTGTAAATAATATTTGCAAAATAATAGTAAATAGATGTAAAAGCCGACAGTTTCATTGAAATGATATAAATCGTTAATCAAAGTTTTGTATTAACAGGCATTATCGATAATAGATATATCGATAATAGATATGAGAAACAAATATATAATGAAGACAGATATACTGTCTTCATTGTAACAATCTCGTTTGTAATGCAAATATAACGTCGGCAAATCAAACGGTCATGACAATATGACTGAAGAGACTATTTACAAAATAATTAGGATAAGATGTAGTGGAATGCACAACACAATACACGCATTTCAGTCATGGTGCAATATCACTATTTTAGATGTTACATTATAAAAGCTATGAAAAAACATGCGGACTTGACGATCCAAGCAAACGAACTACAAATAATATTGAATCACAAATTAAAATTTAATACAGAACTGTGGAAACAGTGCGCTATTATGACATTAAGAGAAGATTATCTATCTTTTTATCGCATACTTGTAAGCGGAATGACGACAAAAGTATCGATTAAAACGTGAGAATATGAGAGGAAATATACATAGCGACATTTTTTAGGGGTCATGCCCCCTGGGGCAAGCAGTGGAACAGAGGGCTTGGGCCCGACCTGTTCTGAAATACATAACAATCAAGATCATGCCACAGCCAAACTCACACCTCCCCCTACATTCGTTCAACAATGCTACAGACACCTCAAGGTCAGCTGCTAAAATATCACAAGTCTGTCACTTGTGGTATATGCAGAAGGCTACATCTAGTTATCGAAATTTATTTTCCATGCTGCGATTTGTACACTTTTACATTAAAAATTATTATCTCTAATTTACGTACTCGTATTAAAGATTATCTTGTAATATGTTGTTATATCTTATTTTTTCAGAGTTCTGGTGTTGGCGAAGCGAGCGTCTATCATGCATTGGTTGTAATATTTCTGGAATTCTTCGCATGGGGACTATTAACCATGCCTATTATTAGGGTACTGAATGAAACATTTCCGGATCACACGTTCCTGATGAATGGCTTGATAATAGGAATCAAAGGAATCTTGTCTTTTCTTTCTGCGCCACTGATTGGTGCTCTCTCTGACGTATGGGGTCGAAAATTTTTTTTACTTATCACAGTGGCCTTCACATGCGCACCAATTCCCCTAATGAGCATTAATACATGGTGGTTTTTTGCCATGATTTCCATCAGTGGCGTATTCGCTTGCACATTCTCAGTGGTGTTTGCATACGTTGCGGATGTAACAGAAGAAAATCAAAGATCACTAGCGTATGGTTTGGTACGTGTATATCATTTTTGTGATTAGAATGACAATATTTGCATTTTGAGGACCAAAGTTTTATTTTATAATAAAAATAATTTGAGACAAAATCATTGGTTATCTAACTTATAAAATAAATTTTATTTTGCTTATCCCTCAGGTGTCAGCAACTTTTGCTGCAAGTATGGTAATAAGTCCAGCTTTGGGAGCTTATATTATGAAGACTTATGGAGAAAATCTTGCCGTAGCATTAGCAACTGCTATCGCAGTCTTGGATGTGTTTTTCATACTAGTGGCTGTACCTGAAAGTTTGCCTGAAAAAACACGTCCACCAGCACCTATATCATGGGAGCAAGCTGATCCATTTGCTGCTCTTGGAAAGGTAAAGTACATGTACATCTATCGTATCGGTCTAAAACATTTTTCTACGTTGTCCAACCCGACGCCTAACTTCAACCCTTTTCGATTCCCGCAGTCCTCCGATGTTAGCATTCTTTCATTCATTGATTTATGAATTGATTTTTGCCACTCTAGTCTAGGTCTTTCTCTCCTCCTTATTCTCATCTTGTATCTTCCATTCATTGTACATTGCCATACCATATCAGTTGTTTACTTTCAATATCCTGGGAATGGTGCTTTCTATTCCAATCTGTTTCTTATCATCTCATTCCTTATCCTGTCTCTTCTTGAAATGCACATGGATCTTCTCATCGCATCCATTTCCATGGTCTCCACTTGTTTCTTGTATTTATCGGTAATTCTCCAAGTTTCTGCACAGTAACATACTTTAAAGTACATGTACATATATATGTATATAGTATAAAAAAGAAATCTATAAATATATAATTATATTAAATTTACTTTGCAGGTTGGAAAAGACCATACTATTTTAATGCTGTGTGTTACTGTGTTCCTGAGTTACCTCCCTGAAGCAGGACAATATAGTTGTATATTCGTTTACTTAAAATTGGCTATGGGTTTTTCTAATCTCATGGTAGCAATATTTATCGCCGTGGTAGGCATCTTGAGTGTGGGAGCGCAGATTGTATTAGGACCCTTAATGAGAACACTCGGCAGCAAACATACTATAATGCTCGGTCTGTTATTTGAAATGTTACAGCTCATGTGGTATGGATTCGGCTCACAAACATGGTAAATCATTTCTTCATTTACATCATAGCAATGTTACTCTATTAATTATGCATTAAAATTTCAATAATAATTAAAATTAAATGACGATGAGAATAGCATGCCAAGTCTTGATCAAGCGTTAATTATTTCAAGGATGATGTGGGCTGCTGGAGTACTTGCTTCTGTATCAAGCATTACGTATCCCGCGATTTCCGCATTCGTATCCATGCATTCTGATGCTGATAAACAAGGATTAGTGCAAGGTATGGTAACTGGGATGCGTGGTCTCTGCAATGGACTTGGACCTGCTATGTTCGGTGTCATATTCTACCTTTTTCATGTTGATCTTAACGACGACACACCCAATCTCCCTTTGAAACCGTCGTTTGTAGACGAAAACAACAGAACGGGAACTAGTACACATCTTGACATAATGCCTCAGGTACATACATTATATCTGCAGGTAAGCATAGTTTATTTTTGTTAGCCTATCTGTTCAGTAAGTTTTATACGTGCAGCATTAAAGTTATTTATTGAAAAGTAATAGCTTTAATATTGAAAAAAAAATCAATATATTGATGTATATATAAAAAATAATATAAATAAGAAGCACATTAATAAAAAAAGTCAGAATCATATTAAGAAATATGAATATTTCGAAAAATAAAAAAAATAAAAACCATCCCCAATGAGAGTTAAAATATCTAGCATGTGTATATATGATTAACTCTAATGATATGTATCATGTGTATAAAAGATGTGTATCATGTGTATAAATTTTCTATGGAATTTTAAAATTATATACAAATTTACCTTTTTAAAAAAAAGGTAAAAAAAGCGCTAAGCGTTGATGAAACTGGCCCAAATGGTGCTT